TCTCTGCACATCACATCTCACCACAAACTGGGAGCACAAGGGCCACAGAGCGCAGGGCACAACCCGGCGTGGAGGCGGCGGCGGCCGCAGCGCGGAGCCGAGGCCGCGTGGGAAGCGGCCAGGCTTTCACGGAACAGTCTTCAAGGTGAGCAGAGAGGCAAGGGGAGCACATGCACTTCCCGAAGGAAAGCTACAGGGCAGTAAGAATCCGCATTTCTGCAGGCACCATCTCCATGCAATTACCATTTTCAAAAGGCATTTGCAAATCTACCGTCTGGTAAAAGCAATGTGCCAGGAAACCACGGCTGCTAGCTCACTCTGCTCCCTGAAGCATGCTGAACGTCTGTCTCAGGTGATGTGGCGCATTTCTAGGCTTCGTTGCCCATTTTCGGTTTCGGAGAAGGCGCTGCTGGCCCGTGCTGGGCTGCTCCGGGTGCGGGGAGGCTGCGAGCGCGCGCTGCACGGCGCGTGAGAGGAGCAGCGCGGGAAGAGCCACCCTCACGCTCGATGGGAGCCCGTTCTGGGCTACAATAATTCACTGGCACAGCCAGGGATTAACGAGTGTTTTACCAAGGGTGCTACCGCCTCGTTGCAAAATGCCCTGCGGTCAATTCTTAGCCTTCTAGAGCAGGTTAAATATCAGAATAATTATTAGTGCTGACAGACACAGAAATCATACAGAAAGCTTTCCCTGCCCAGGAAGGAAAGGGGACTAAATTCTTAGCACATGGTTTGAAGCCTACGGAGCCAGTTCAGGCTTGGGCAGCCCCTGTGCTCACACCGCAGCCCGCTGCTCTTGCTGACACTGCACCTAAAAGCCCCAGGGAAAGGGGAATTGTCGAGAGAGGGGAGGTAAAGCTCTCGCAGTTCCCTAAAGCTCCTGTGGTTCCCTAAAGCTCCCACGGTTCCCTAAAGCTCCCCCAATTCCCTAAAGCTCCCTCGGTTCCCTAAAGCTCCCTTGGTTCCCCGTCTGCGGTGTCACCTTCCACGAGCTGCACCAGTGCTACCCAGGGACAGCACAGAGCGGGTCAAGCAAAACCCCGGCCATGGGGTATCCTCCGAAGCCTCCCCTCCCGGCAAGGGGCACACACGGAACGGGGTCACCCGGAACAGAGGCGGAAAAACCCGACCGGCTGAGACACACAGTCCCCGATCCCTGAGCAGAAACAACAACACGGCTTCCCAGGCTCATTGGTTCCAATTCCAGGCTCAATCCTTCCTCACCGAGATGCTCCTGCTTAACGCGGAGCCACGCTGGGCTGCAGGGAAGTGTTTTCCTGCTCTGAGCAGCTTCCCATGGAGGCTCCCTTCTCCGCAGCAGCCTCGGGCAGGGCAAGGAGGCAAAGAGCAGCCACCGCACACAGCTCCCGCCTTGCCCTGACCGGGGAGTGCTGCTGCTGACACACAAACGCCGCTTCTCCCTGCTCGGCCAACAGGTCGGCACGCCGCTGCACACCCAAGGGACTGGCCCATCTTCGGACTGGTTTTCCTAAATTACCTTCTTTGAGAAGGTGACTTTTTTAGCTCCTGCATGCCTCCGAATGAGCCTTTTTGTACAAAATGTCACGACTTTGCTGACGGTTACAGCAGGCATCGTTTTTGATGTTTCCTGTTATCGCTGATGAAGAGATATCAGAGATATCTTATCGGAGATGAAGAGTCACGCACAACACAGAGCTGTTTGCATCTAAGTTTTCTGGCTTATAAAACCATTATTTTCCCTTGGAAGAACTACAGGCAGAGTGATGGTCTGGGAAAGCCCTGGTTATATAGGCCCAAGAGAGAAGCTTAGAGTTTCAGCATCCCTGCACAGTGTCAGAATTGCTCTCATTATTTGCTGCCTGACAAAAACATACGGTCACCAACGCACTGCTGCACAGAACTGGACGATTTACTCGAATCCCCTCCACGGGCAGGAAGGCAATCCAGGCCAAAGTCATTACAAAAGATTAAGTAGCTCACAAATTATTCCAAACAGCGATTATTTATTTTTGTGAATCGCTAGTTTTCCTGTATCAATAGTTTTGATCGGGACATTTTTTTCCTTCCAATAACAGGTTGTGTTTTCTTCTCATATTTTAGTATCTGCCGAATGTAGGTCCCCAGGAAACTTGGCTGATCTCATCCAGCAGATTCAGCAGCTGATCTTGGCTCCAGCAACTGAACTACCTGCTTTTCAGTGCTTGACAGCTTCATATGCCCTTGAATAGCAGCACCTGAATGCATGCTAGCATAGAAACAACCCAGAGAAGTTTCAGCACACTTCTAAGTCGCTCACACTAGAACTAAAGGCTGCTTTTTGCCATTCAAACACCAACTAAGTAATTGCTTTTGTCAAGACACAACTTGAAAATGAAGTATATACTCAGCAGGAAAGCTGTGTCTTCAGCCATTGCCTTAGCAATCAATGCTAACGCCACGGGACCACGACTGGATCCAGTATACAGCACCATGAATAGAAAAGAGCTTCGCAAAACTACAAATATGAAAACAAAATCCAGCTATTTTCATCATCATCAAATTGTATCAGTGGGTTTAGCATCGCAGACACTTTAAAACTTCTTGTTGAAACCACAGTGCCAGCTCAGAAACTGGGTTTTAAAAATGGAGGCCTTGCTAACAGTTGTAGGACTCAATATTTTGCTTTTGTTTCTAAAAGCCACATGCATGAAAAACATCTTCCAAGCTGTCTTATTGCTATGTAAAACAAACTAATAACAGAAGTGTTTTCCTTTCCACTTTATTTAATTCCATTATTTAACAGATGACTACGTTGTTCTTTCTCAAGTAATTTACTTTGTGGTAAAAAACAAGAACAAGAAACTAGGAACGGTAACGTCTCCTTTTTCATAACCATCAAAAACCTTTTTCATAACCAGTTCCAGAGGCCCAGAAGCAAAGAAATGTGGTGCAGGTCCATCCTCAAAGACCTGTCCTTGGCCTGTGTGAGCTCCCCTAACGGCTCCCCTTCCTAATTAGAGTGCAGGCCTCCCAGCCACATGAACCAGCGTTTCCAGATTTACAACAAAACATTCTTTATAAGCGCAGATGCCGCAGACACTCCCTGCAAGAAAAAATATTTACTAAGAGAAATGGACCCATGGATTGAGTGGAAACACTCTCAGAAAGAAATAAAGGGGGATCAGGGCAGTATTCACCTCACTGTATTTGATCGGGTGCAGTTCATCTAGAACCAGCCTGGTTATTTCTACTCACTGCTGCATAATTTCCTAAGAACATTCAAAGTTTATTTCGGAAGAAGACAGAATCGGTAGCATGATGTCACATCAAAAGAAGTTTATCTACACAAAGCTCCAGGAATAGCCGAACACGCCATTCCTGATGTTACAGGCAAACGGGAAAGCTAGGAAAACTTAAGGTGAAGCTGAAACACTGCTGCTGGCAACTTAAAATAGGGCATTCTAACTTATGTTGAAGTCGCTGCAGAAAACTGATAGCTTAAATTCTGATGATTTTGAAACTGAAAAGTGCAGATAAAGTATTGCCATGAAAAGTGTGTGCACAAGGTCTGTGCACGTCCACCAAACCCAAACTTGGGCACAATAGGCATGTGCCAACCCTAAGGGTCACAGTTAACACCTGCAGTGAAAACGTGGCAGGATGGACCTCAGAAGGAGCAGATGTTTCTTGTCCAGAGAAGGAACCAGCACTTCCACAGCAGCGAAAGGAAGCGCTCAACAAACTTGTAGCTAAAGGCTGTGGGCAGGTTCCTTTACGGCAGAAGTTCATTTCAAGAGTATTGTCATTAGTGCTGCTACTTTGTCCCTCAAAATGCTACTCCAGCTACAAGCGATGGCTTGGGAAGAGCCCAGCTGAGGAGTGTGCACCAGACCACGGCTGTTACTGCTACAGAGGCTCATTCATGGGGAGAGGACCTCTCGTGCTCGGGGACCTTGTGAGCACCGTGCATCTGCTCAGCTGGTGCAGGCTGGGTCCAGACACACTCACAACTCCGGCTAACAGGGCCATTTCTACAGGCTGGTGATGGAGGAAGGTACACGGCTGTTAAGGGGTGGAAAGAGACTGGGTGGCTTTCAGATAAGAACTTGAGCATTTGCTATTTTATTTGCTGTAACCTGGAACAAAATGATTCCCGGCTTTTAAATGCTATTTAGGACTTCTGCACATGTTAATAATTTACACAGGTTCCAAAAAAAAAAAAAAAAAATGACTCGGGAAATACATGCAGGAAGGAAAGACACTGAGGGCCAGCAAACAAGAAGGCTCAAAAAGAAGGCTCCAGCTTAAAAAGTCACTGGGCTACCACTACAATACATGGAGAGGAAGTATCTCCACATGTTGTCTTGCACATTCCTCCCTAGGCATCTGTCATTATTCGCTGCCCTTGCTGGAATTACGCTGATAAATCAGGCCGGAGGCTAAGAATAGCTGCGGGCACCAGGAAAGCTGCGCATCCGCCGGCCCTCTCCGCCGCCGGCCGGAGCAACGCGCAGTGTGCGGAGCCACGCTGCGGCACCAGCTGCCATCCGGGCGCCACTCCACCACGGATTGCACTGGATGCGGCCCTGTTTTACCGGCAGGCTCCGCAATGCCGTGGCCCACGCTGCCGGCCACGTCCACGCTGAAACCCCGCCAGCTCCACGCGGGCGCCCGACGGGCCGGCCGCGTCCCGGCCGCCACGAGCGGCAGGCAGGAGGCCGTGGGGCCGCCACCGTCCCCTCGCGCTGCCCGCGAGGGAAGCTCCAGGGAAGCGGCGTCGCTCCGGCCGCATCCGCGCCCGTCCCGGCGGAAGCCGGCGCAGTTGCCAGGCGTCCCAGACGCCGCCTGGACGGCGTGTTTAGCTTGGTCACAGAAACGGGGACGTTCTCCTCCTTCCGCAGGGCTCAACCAGCCGCCCAAAGCCACGAGCGGGCCGGCGCCCCAGGGCTTCGCGCGCAGCGCGGGGACGGCGCAGCCAAGGCGCCCCTCGGGGGCCAACGGCTCCAACGGTCCCAACGGTGCCCGCGCTCGCCCCTTACCATCTGGGCCACCTTGATCATGCCGGCGCAGGAGCGGAAATAGGCGCCGTCCATGAGCTCCGCGTCCGCGCCCTGCGCGGCGGCGGGCGGCGGCGGCGGGGCCCCGCTGC